ACACACACACACACACACATCCACACACACACCCATCCACACACCTATCCACACACACATCTATACACACACACACACACATATCCACACACACACACCTATCCACACACACACCCACCTTGGCTTTGATTCATCTGTGCACATGCCATGCTTCTCACATAAAAGAAACATGTCCTGTGGTCACTTAGGCTCAAAACAGAGTTCTCCATGCTAATGAGGTACCTAGCCTGAGGGCTTAACCAATCAGCTTCCCTTCCCAGACATTCCTCCCTGCAAAAGGTATTTAATTGCCGGCCCACCCTGAGGAGTGGGGTATGGTTTTATGCGTTCATTTTCCACCATGACAATGAATTGTTTAGAACCATAGGTTGTGTCTTTCCAGTGTGAGGAGCCATGGAGAAGGCCTTCACTTACAGAGCCGCAATCTAATCTCCAGTAGAAGGCCTCTCAGTGCTCCCAGCCACACTGCCACCAAGCTAAGAACAATCACTCCCATGGGACAAGCCAGAACTCCCTTTTCTCCCCAGTCCACAGGCCCTCCAACTCCATTCTCTGCTCTTCTGTAACTCCCAGCCTGGATATCCAAAAGTCTGAGAACCCCACAGCCCTGGCCTTATCACAGGCCCAGGGACCCCAGAACCAACTCCAGTTCCCTACAGCCCAGCACCCATCCAGCTGAAGCATGGGATAAACACAGTCAGACTCTCCACATTTCACCTCTTCAAGCAGCTGTGCCCTGTGGCAGAGTGGCCTACAGACCTCCACAGCTAACTCTGTGACACACATACACACAGGACCCAGGTTCAATTCCCATCACCCACAGGAGAGCTGAAACCATCTGTAACCGAAGATCCAGGGGTTCTAATGTTCTCTTAGGGCCTCCACAGGCACCAGGCACAAACACGGTTCACACACACATGTAGGCACAACACCCAAACACATATAATAGTAAATATTTAAAAGGAAAGTAAAATAAATGCTAATTAAAAAAATTTCAAAGTTCATGCTCCAGTTGTAAACACACACACATGCACACGCACACACAATTAAACTCGTAATAAGGCTCTAAATTCCACAGGTGGACCTGTGGTTCAGGCCTGTCTTCACAGCTTCTCAGAAGACCAAGGAAGAGAGACCTGAAGTTAAGGGCCAACCTGGGCTACAGGGTGAGTATGAAGTGAGCTTTATGGAGATCCTACCTCAAAATGAACAGTAAAGAAAGCCAATCTATGGGGCTTCTCTCTCTCTCTCTCTCTCTCTCTCTCTCTCTCTCTCTCTCTCTCACACACACACACACACACACACACACACACACACACACACAAATGAGTGGAGCTCTCAGACAGGGTCACTCTGTGACCAAGGACCCCCGCACACACTTGCGAAGCCCGTTCCATGGCCCTGGCCCGAGCTCACTGGTTGAGGCAGGGCGTGTAGGAGTTCTTATCCTCCTCTATGATAGATACGATGAGGGTGATCAGCTTGGACCAGAAATCCAGGTTCTTGATGCTAGGGCCTTGCTCCTCCGGGGGAACCTCCCCCTTCTTGGCCTGAAAGGGGAGAAAGCAACAATTTATAGCAGCTGGGGTGGCAGAGGTGCTGCAGGCCACACTCCTGCGCCACAGACACTGCACCAAATGGACTTCATGGTAAGACTCTCATTTTAGACAAACAAACTGTAAAAGAAAGAAAAACAGAAAGAAATTCAATCCAAGCCAGTATCTTTTCTTTTCTGAAGCAGAGACTTAAGATGTAGCCCAGGCTGGCCATCCTCATGTCTCAGCGTCCTGAGGGCCAGGTTGACATAGGGTTGGGCTGTATTTCTACACCATGTGGGTCTCAGGGATGAACCACAGGTAACCAGGCTTGGTGGCAAGCCCTAGTCTGTCCTCTTATCTCTCACCAGCTTTCAAATCTCTTTCTTTTTTAAAGATTCCTTTGACTTTATGCATATGTCTGCATGTCTGTATGTATACTCCATGTGCATGTGGGTGCTAAAGGAGGCCAGAGGCACTACAGTTATAGGTGGCTGTGGGCCACCATGTGGGTGCTGAGAATGGAACCCTAGTCCTCTGGCAGAGCAGCAAGTACACTTAATCACTGAGCTTAACTCTGACAGCCCAGACTCACTGAACCTTTTGCAAATAGAAACTGTCCATGAATCGTAAGGCTTTAAGCCAAACTCAGCAAGCATTCTTAACTGCCTGCCGTATGCTCTGTGCTGTGTGCTTGCTGCTGTGTGCTCGGTGCTGAGTCCTACGTGCTGAGTTCTCCTCTAGATGGCACGAAACACTGTTTTGTTTTTTTTTTTGTTTTTTGTTTTTTTTTCTTATTCAGATCACTTCACAGTCCTATCCCCTGAATTCCAGAAGACACTGCCGAGAGTCTGAGCACAGCATGTCCCAGGGGGCCTATGAAGGTGAAGTCCCATCACCTGTGAAGGTGAGTCTCACCGGGTCCGTTTGGTACTCCCGGCCATAGAGCTCATGGCAGTTGTTGAAGATGTACTCGTAGGTGGAGTTGAGGCAGGCCTTCACGCAGTCCTTCACCACCTGGCTGGCGCGCGGTGGGCTTTGCAGTTCCTGAACCTGAAAAGCAGAGAGGCCGGGTGAGGAGGCTGGAACCACGGTGCTCAGACCAGATATGAGCTGCTATAAGTTGACTGACTGGTGGCTTTCCCCACAGTGTTCCTGTTGAGATGCCCGGCTTCTGCTTCCCAGCGTCTGTGACATGGGTGGGTATGTGCCACCACACCTACATAATTCTCTCGTTTTTTTTTAAATCATACATATTTTTAGCATGTGTGTGTGTGTGGTGTGCACGTGTGAGTGTGATACATGCACATATGGAGGACAGAGGACAGCCTGTGGGGGTCGGTTCTCTCCCCCTTCCACCACGTAGGTCCAGGGGATTCAGCTCAGAGAGTCAGGTGTGGTGGCAAGCACCTTTCCCACTACACCGCGTTGTCGGCCCCCACGGTGTGTTTAAGAGTGCTCTGTAGCAGTGCCCACAGTCGGGCCACCAGGACTCTGTGTGGCTGAGGAGTGGGGACACCCACCTTCATCCGGAAGAAGGTGATACTGGTGAGCAGGTCCACCGTGGACTTGAGGTCCTGCAGCCGCTCAGGGCTGCTGGCTGGGAAGTTGTTCTGTTGGCAGCAGGTGGGTAATGAGAGGCCGGGGTCAGTGCTGCATGGTGTGTGGTGAGCACGTGACTGTCCCCCTCCCTCCCAGGGAAACAAGGGGCAGCAGCCTCAGGCCCACCAGCCTCTCACCCGGTACATGGACAGGTCGATCCGCAGGGAGTTGTGTAGCTGGTCCAGAAGTTTCACAAAGCGCTCTTTCTAAGTGGAAGATGGGGGATGAAGGCGGGCCTGGGGGGTTCTGGTGATGTCACTGAATATAGGCTGCTAAGCTGGTTGAATGCTCCCTAACCACTAAGCTTTGCCACCCAACCACCCAACCACACCTCATTTCTTTTTAGCTTTTTGGCACAAGGTCTCTGTAGCCCAGGCTGGCCAGGACCTGGAGATCATCCCGCCTCAGCCTCCTGGGAGCTGAGATGACAGGTGTGTATATCACCATACCTGTTTTCTGTGCGGTGCGGATGGAACCCAGGACCTCCTTTAACCAGCCCTCTGAGCTTCAAATGCTCTTTTGGGGGTAAGGAAGTTGGGTTTTTTATGAGATAGGGTTTCTCTGTGTAGCCCTGGGTATCCTAGAACTGTAGAGGAGGCTAGCCTTGAAGATCCACCTGCCTTTGTCTCCTGAGTGTTGGGATTAATGGAGTGAACCACCAACATCTGGCCACTCTACCTACTCATAATGTCTGATTCTATTCTACAGATGAGCAAATTGAGGCTCTAAGACAGGGAGACACTGGGGCAGAGGTACAAGAGGTGCTACTATGGACCAAGGAAGTCTGTCCAGCCCTAGACCCTGAGACTGACCCCGAAATTGGAGGCAGCGAAGCGGTCGGAGGCAGACACGTTGGTGGAGGCGGTGGTATGTGCGTAGTAGGCGTTGATGTTGGCAAGCAGGGTGCTCATGACAGCGGGTACCCCAGGGCACATGTACTTGGAGGAGAGGCAGGCAAAGTGGCTGGTGGGCAGAAGCGGGGGGGGGCACTGGGTCTGGGAACCAAGACTGTGGGGTCCCCAGAACTCCAAGACACCACCTGGGAGTCAACCCCTCTTCCTGGGCTCCCTTCCCTCTGGCTCAGTCCTCTGAGTTCTTATGTAATGCCTATATCCTTTCTTCCATGTTTTTGAATTTAAGTTTTTGAGACAGGGTCTCATGTAGCCCAAGATGGTTTCAAATCCAGTATGTAGTCGAGGGTGGCCCTGAGCTCCAGATCCTCTGGCCTCAGCCTGAATGCTGATGTCTGAGGTGTGTGCCCCTCCCCCACCACGCCCTCCTCTAGCTCTCCCTGGTTCTCTGGCCCCCACCTCCCAATATCGGTATCCTGATAATCTCTTGGGAATGTGGCACACCCCCCTTCCCCAGATCTGCCAGTGTCACCCGAGGCACCCGGCCACCCGCTGTGCCCTCACGTCATGGCTTGGTAGATGGACTCAACGCCATAGCGCATGGCAAACTCATCCACGATCTCCTGGGCCGTCTCATCATAGTAAACCTTCCAGGCGTCGTCGCCCTTGGCATCGGGAATCTTCACCACGCCGTTGTTCTGCACGTCCGTCACAAAGTGGAACAGGTTCTGTACCGGGGAGACATGGCATTGGGAATGAAGAAGAAGATGACCTCAGTCAGCCTTCCAGACCCTCGTCCATCATCCCCACAGCACCCAGGTTCCTCATGTGCACTGACACCTGTCCTTAGCCACACACTCATTCACTCATCATCCAACTCCCCCACAAACCTTATCCACTTCCTGTATTTCCATTTGTCCATCTGTCCACCTACCAATCTGACACCCCATCCATCATCCACTTTTCCAAGTATCCAACTACCCACAAATCCACCGAAGACCATTTAACACTCTGTGCACTCACTCCCTGTGATCTACTTGATCCCTAAGCCACGCCCCAATCGCTCCCTAAGCCACGCCCCAATCGCTCCTTAACTCCGGCGATCTTATCCTTCACCCTCCAGTTAGTAACCCACACGTCGAGTCACACTCGTCTGAGAAGCTCCACTTAGGGACAGATTTCTCTGCAGAAGGCCATGCAGGAGAGAGCTCATCGCTGGAGCCCAGCCACAGTGCAGCCATGAAAGCTGGCCTGGAGGCCCAAAAGAAGGGTCCCTGGAGCTGAGCCTTGACACAGAGGTAGTGGTTTCTCAGGCAGAGGGGACAGTGTGAGGAACTGCACAGCATGTGTGAGAGGAAGGGCGTGGTGATGAAGGATCCAACTGTGTGCTTCGTGGCCCTATCAGGCTCACCTCATGCAGACAGGTGTACTGGACGTGGTAGGGCGCCACCTTCTCCTCCCCTTTGATCTCCACGCTGATGTGAAGCCGAATGGCCCCCGACACGGCGGATTTGTCTGTCCTCTTGTCTGCGGGTTATGACGGAGCACATGAGGGGTCTCAGGGCAGCAGGTCTGCTTTAATACACAGAAGCTCTGCACTTTCTCGACCCCCAGGTCTCTCTTGTGCTGCACATCCTAGGTCATCCCTTTCTCTGACTTCAAGCCTCCCTGAGCCCTGCCCACACTCACCCAGATTGTACCACACATCCATCTCTCCACTAAGCGTCCGCACCTCGATGATTGTCTGCCCCAGGAAGTCGTCAGACTCCCTCTTAAACCTTTGTTTCACACGGGATTTGATGTCATCGTCTTCATCCCAGACACGCACCTTGATCCGGTCAGAGGAGTTGTGACATTCACTGTGTACAGAGTCGGACCGAAGGGCAGGCGTCAGGCAGCTGCCCTGTGTCCTGCTTCAGAGGCCCCTAGAAACTAACCCAGAAGCAAGGCTACTCTGGAACTTGGAACCCAGCCAGTTACTCACAAGTGGAAATTCTCTTCCCACACTGGGTTGAGGTTCCCGTAGATGGTTTTTGTCCTTTTCTTCGTCTTCCCAACTTGGACAGTGACGTAAGGATCACTGGACCCTGTCTTGTCCTTGGCTTGCAAGCCCTGGGCACAGACCACTGAAAGACACACCACATGAATGTGCTTTCAAGATGGGGAACTTGCCAAAAGCAGTTACTAACTAGCACATGCCCCAAAAGACCTGTGACATGGGCCAGCCACAGCGACAGTCCAGCTAGTCTTGCTAGAGTGTTGTCATGGAGCCCCCAAGCTGATGTCCTTCCTATATATCTGTCTTCCCATCTGTCTCTCATTCCACCCACCCACACATTAAATCCTGCCGCTACCCAACCTGTCCACCCACCCATCCACCCATCCGCCATCCACCCATCACCCACCTGCCCACTGTGCATTCATCCACCTCTCTCTCCTATTTTCCACCTACCCTGCCACCCTGCCCACCTATCCATCCAGGCTTTTACCCACTCATCCTTCCACCCCCTCATCCACCAACCTATCCACCCACCCTCCCATTCACCCATTCATCGACATTAGCCGTGCACCCGGTCCCCTACCTCCCATCTTTCCATCCATCCATCATCGCCCGTCCTCCCGGACATCCTCCCTCATATCCAAGCCTCAGACCCCATCCATCCATCTATCCAGCTACCCATCCATTATCCAGCAACCCACTCGCCCATCCACCCACTTATGCAGCACAGGTGAGACTACTCTCACATGTATGTTATAAGCAGCTCCCCTAAGGTCCACCTCAAACTGCAACCTTCCCTCGGTTCCAAGCACCCGTCAGGTCCCTCCCCGGGGCTGTCTGCGCACGCGCACCCGTGATGCTAATTTTGGCAGACCACTTGGATGTGCCGTCCAGCACGCTCTGCTTGACAGCCTTCATCTGCTGTGTGTGTGCGCTCTTGGTGACCGCGAAGATCTCCTGGATAAGCTCGAAGATCTCGGGCTTGTTGCGTTCGCGGATCTTCATGCGGTCCTTCAGCACCATGATGATGTTCTGCGTGCGGTCTTCAGCGCCATGCTTGGAGCTCTTCTCAGCCGCCCCTGCCGTGGCAGACGGACCTGGCCTTGCTGTCCATCTGCTAGCCTCCAACCCTCCAACCCAGGCCGGTCACCAAAGCGCCCTCCTCCTGGCTAAGCCAAGCCCTCCGAGGTGGCCCAAGGTTGGCCACACCCATGATGTTCTCCTCACCTGGAATCTCCTTCCCTCCCAGAGCCCAGTCTCTTGAGACTCTACCGCCCCGAGTCTCCGCCCATCTCTAGGCCCTACCCTAGGCATTTCCCTGTCAGTCATACCCTGAACTTTCTGCCCAGAGTCCTGCCCCAGGCATCAGGGTGAGTCATGTCTACACAGAGTCCCACCTACCTACAATCTTAGTGCCAACTGAAGGCACATCGTACTGAGATGCGCTCCTCCAAGCCACACCCTCTAGGAACACCCTGCATGAGGCCCCGTCCCCTTCAAGCTCTCTTGTCACTGACCCATCACTCTGTCTGCGCATGTTCACCCACAGCCTTCCTGCCAGGTGGGCATCCTTCCTTTCAAAGCCCCGCCCTGTTAGAGCATCAGCACAGTGGGACTCAGTCTCTCAGTCCCCTCCCTTCCTGAGGGCCTCCTTTCTCTAAGGCAGGCAGAGTAGTAAGTCAGTCTGTCTCACCTGAAAGCCTCTGCGCAAACCAGCTCCTGCTGCCTCTACTTCCTCAGATCTTCTCCACTCCTGCATCCCCCCATGGCCTGTCCCAGCTCATAAAATTTTCGACATTCCCAATGCTGCGGCCCCTTAATACCGTTCCTCATGTCGTGATGACCCTCAATCAATTATTTGGTTGCTACTTCACAACTGTAATTTTGCTACTGTTATGAATCATAATGTAAATATTCAGGATATCTGATATGCGACCCCCAAAGGGGTCCTGCCCCACAAGCTGAGAACCGCTTCGCAGAAACTCTGAGGAGCCCTGGCCCTAACCTAAGCCCCGCCCACATAACCACCCCTGTTGCCTTGCCTCTGGCTCAGTAAACTAGTAGCAGACCCTTTTTCACCGCCAGAAGAACCCTGAGCTACCCCAGCCAGTGACTGAGGGCTTTGCCACGCCCTCAATTGCTAAACAGTCTATCCACTCCCGCTCAGCTCACTCAGCCAACCTGACCATGCAGCTCAGCCCTCCGGGCCGGTCCGCTCCAGCCTGGTCCCGCCCACCCGGCTCAGCCCCGCCCCTCGCTGCCTGGCCCCGCCCCTCACGCTGCAGGCAGTCCGCGTTGAGCAGGTCTTGGCACTTCTCGTGGCACTTAACGCCGCACTCGGTGCAGCGCATGCCCTGCCGCGCGATGCCCCACAGCAGCCCCTCGCACTCGTAGCAGTAGGTGGGCGTGGTGGCCGTCCACACCTCGAAGTTGTGCGGCGTGGTGCAGGAGATGGGGTAGATTAAGGCTTGCAGCGTCTTCTTGTAAACGTGATTTTTCTGCGGAGGAACAAGGGCCGCGTGGGATGCGGGAGTCCCGGACACCCCAGCTGTCCCCCTGCTCCTCTAACGCCACGGGGCCGCTTCCAGAGCCCCGTACTCACCAACTCTTCATTGTTCAACGTGCTGGAGGCCAAGGCCGAGGTGATGCCCGCCTTCCGCGACTGGACCAACGACTGTGGTGAGAAGGTCGCCAGTAAGTGCAGGCCACACAAGGGAGGTCTGCAGTGCCGGGACTGGGGGACTGGGTCAGAAGGAATCCTGGGGGGTGAATTTCCCACACCCCTAAGGTGGGACTTGGGAGACACCCACTGAGCAAAACTCTCAGCTAGGTCCTGGTGAAACAAGGTAGCTCCGAGCATGAGAACAACTGTTCTTCCCACCCATGAGCCTTAGCACTCACACAGGGGTGAGAGCTGAAAGATCCCCCAACAAGCATGTCTGGGGAGAGACCCCCCCCATCACCATCACTCACCATGGCCTGAGGTCCAGGACGCATGAGGGTGCAAAGCAGCGTACATTAGTCTCAATGACAGCCTGGGCAGTCCCCAGCCTCACGGCCGCCCTGGGCAGTTGTACAGGTCGTACACTGCTCTCAGAAGTCCCACTAAGGGTGGGAGCATGGAGCTGCTCACCAGGTCGCTCACGAGGGGAATGGGCTTCCGCTTCCTGATGTCCGGCATGCTGTCAATGATGATAAGGCCACCACCAGGACTGCAAGACACAGAGGACACTGAGGGCCCAGACCTGTGCCCCAGCCTCACACTCACCACTACAGGTGCAGGCAGGATCCCTGAACTCCCCATGGGCTGGGAATTCAACTCCAGCACTGGCCCCACTAGGTCACACTAGCAGTGTGATCTTTATTTGAAATTCCAGCTCTCATATAGGTAAGTTGACATGGACTAGTACCCTTAAAAACAAACAAAAAAAAACCAACAACAAAAAAACGAAAACAAAACAACAACAACAACAAAAAAGACTGAGCCAGGTGATGGTGACATGTGCCTTTAGAGGCAAAGGCAGGCAGATCTCTGTGAGTTTGAGGCCAGCCTGGTCTACAGAGTAAGTTCCAGGACAGTCGGGGCTACACAGAAAAACCCTGTCTCAAAAATAATAAATAAATAAATAAATAAATAAATAACAATAAACTATTTTCTCCTCTCAATATGGAATCCTCTTGACACCCCAACCCCTGTCTGAGCAACAGGTATGAACCAACCATGGTCTCCGGTTTTAAAATATCCATCCCCCTTAACCAGGGTGCTCTGCTCACCCGCCTTTGAACCATAGAGACTTGGACATCTCTCCTTCTCCTCGGGCCTGCAGGACAGACAGAAGACAGACACACTGGTTACCCCTCTATTCCCGAGGCAAACTGTTTACCCCCTTCTGTCTCCCACGTGAGTGAGGAATCAGGAAAGCCAGTTCCTATGTCTCCCTGTGTACCCTTGGGCTTTTGGAGCCCAGCCTGTAAAACTGGCCCCAAGAGGCAGAGAGCTTCTCTGCCAATCACAGGTGCGCTGTCAATCCTGAACACTTGACAGCATGCCCCCATTCAGTCTTTCAGTCTTGTTCCTCTCCCTCTCCCTCTCCCTCTCCCTCTCCCTCTCCCTCTCTCTCTCCCTCTCCCTCTCTCTCTCTCTCTCACCACTTCTTGCTACATAAATCCCTGCTGGCCTCGACCTGCAATCCTCTTCAGCCTCTCAAGTGCTGGGATGACTGCCCTGTGTCATCACATCCAGGTAAACATCTCTAATATTTTTATTGTTTTATTTATTACATTCCAAATGTTTACCCCCTTCCCGGTTCCCTCTCCAAGAGTTCTTACACCACCCCTCCCCTTTGCTTCTGAAAGGGCGTTCCCTACTCCACCCCTAAGCATCCCTAACTTACACTTTTTATTGTGATTATTATTATTATTTTTTGGTTTTTCGAGACAGGGTTTCTCTGTGTAGCCCTGGCTGTCCTGGAACTCACTCTGTAGACCAGGCTGGCCTCGAACTCAGAGATCCGCTTGCCTCTGCCTCCCAAGTGCTGGGATTAAAGGCGTGCACCACCACCGCCCGGCTATTGTGATTATTTTTATGTGTATGGATATTTTGTCTGCATTTGTATCATCATGTGTGTGTTCCAGGTGCCCACAGATGCCAGAAGAGGATGTTGGGTCCTTTGGATCTGGAGTTACAGACCGTTCTGAGCTGCCATGTCGGTGCTGGGAACCAAACTTGGGGTCCTCTGGAAGAGCAGTCAGTGCTCTTAACTGGTGAGCCATCTCTCCAGCCCCTTAAATCCTCTTCTTAAATGGATAAGGGAAGGTTTAGAATGTCTGTAGTGTGACATCGGATGACCTAAGTGTTCTGCTTCCTGGTGCTCCTGCCCAGTTCGGATGGTCACCTGGACATCAACATAGCTCTGGGCATAGCCTGACTGAGGAGCCTTCACCCTGTCACTCTTCCTGCAGGTGGTGAGGACCTCTCTGCCAAATATCAAAACACTGACCTCTGACCTCTCACTGCTGTCCTAGCCTCTGTCATTACAAGTGAGATTTATCCCTTACATGGCTTTTCCAGTCTCAGGCCTCCAATTCTGATCACTACAGATTTGGAAAGTCCAGCTTCCATGGGGCCAGCATGTGGAGCCAGAGCATCCGAACAGGGCCAAGAGGGTTGAAGCAGGGACCCTCACATCTATCTGCAAAGGGGGTATAGAGCTGTGTGTTTGTGGGTGGTGGGTGTGGTATTGCTGGGTGTGGTCTTTTGGGTGTAGAAGGGTGTGGCCTGCTGGCTATGGGTAGGTGGTGAGCATGGGCTTATTGGGTAGGGGCGAAATGATGAGTATGATATTATCGAGGAGGGAAAGGGTGTTGAATGTGGTCTTGCTGGCGGATGGGCTGATGGGCAGGTCTTGGTGGGCGTGGCCTCCGTGGTGGGCGTGGCATGGACCGACTGCATCACTCACCTCCTGCAGCTGCATGCGCACCTTGTTGAAGGCTCGCAACCAGTTGGCTTTGGCCCTGGACATGGCATCCTGCCCTTCCTGGCCCTCCTCATCCTCTCGAGATCTGAAACTAAGCCGGGGAAGGCAGGCAGAGGCTCAGAATGGCTCTGTGGGATCCCAGCCTCCCGCTTCAGTTCTACCCACACAATGTGCTGCTCTCAGAGGCCCACAGAGCTCTCTGACTGGTGCCCTGCACCTCAGTTCCTCCAGATACCTCTCCTCAGACTTGGGGGGCTCGGTTTCCTGTGCACGCTCTACAGCTGCCTTCTCTTCAGGTGTGGCTGCTTTGGGGATCCCTTTGGTCACATCGGAGGCCTCTGTGGGCACAGCTGAAACCTTGTCATCCTTCTGAGGTGCAGCTGTTGGGAGGCTGATCCGTTTGAACTCTTTGGGCTCAGCCACAGTGGTGTCCTCCTGCTGGGCATAGCTGGCCAGGTCATCAGGCACTTCCTCCTCCTCCTCCAACTCCTCTTCTTCCAACTCCTCCTCCTCCTCCTCCTCCTCCAATTCCTCCTCCTCCAATTCCTCCTCCTCAGGCAGCTCCTCATCTTCCAGGTCCTCCAGGTCCTCCAAATCCTCATCATCTTGGTCCCAGCGGGGTGAGTCCTTGTGGTAGCTCACAGAGCTGTGACAGGAGTGATAAGAGTCGCGGTCCCTCTCGTCATCCAGCTCCGAGCCCTGCAGGCTGTGCTCATCTGGGTCGAAGTCCTCGCTCAGCTGTGAGCTGCCTTGGCTCAGCTCCCCAGAGGAAGCATAGCGGCTGCTGCCTGTGGGGCTGTGGAGAAACCGTCAGACTTTGGCCATGTCACCATTCCACACACACAGCATCGTCCAGGATGTGCTCAACAAAGCCAGAGTGCCTACTTGTGCTCACATCTGCTCAAAGGCTGCATCACCCAGGCCAGTAAGCAGCATGAAATGAATGCTTATTGTCTGCTCGATGCTGGAACATGGACCACACATCTGCTCATCATGGATGGAGCACCTACTGGAGGCTCATCCTTTTCTGCTCCAAGAACACAGGCCCACCTATCAGCTACAGATATGCTTATCATGGATTAAGCAGCCAATGTGTATGTGTTACTGCTCTAGACATTAGGAACACGGGGCACACGAACCAGTCACTTACTCGGCATGAATTGAGCCTCTATTGGGTACATGCTGCTGCCCAGGCACCAAAAAGCACTGGGTTACCTGAGATACACACAGAACCTTGCTCTAACTGGTACAGCTTCAGCCATCTTGACAATCTCAGCCTGTGCACCCACTCTCCCTTTCCTGAAGCTCCTGACACACTGCCATGTCCGGTCATCTATTATAAGTTCCTAATGTTCAACCTAGATTGTTCCAAACCATAACCTGTTCCTGCCCTTAGCCAAACCACCTTGTTTGTCAGTTTGGATGTCAACCAGGGGCAATGTGCACGTGCACACACACCCCTAGTGGTGAGGTTTTGAACTGCACAGCAGGGCTGAACTGGCAGAGAGGGAACCGTCCCTTGCTGGAGTCCACCACCCCTGCTTACTAAGGGTAGGATTGGCTGTACCCAGATTCTTCCCTACTGGCTTCTGTAGACTGGGTCTGAATCCATTCCAGTGAGTCCCCCGGCCCCTCTAACTCCCTGCCAGAGTCCCTGACCCTTGAAATCTTCACCTTTAATAGGGAGATACCAGCACCATGCTCCAAAAGCCCTCCATGATGTCCCTGTCTCCAACTGACCCCACAGCAGGTCCTGGTCCACTCATGCCCTTTTCAGATGCATGAGCTAGCACTGGCCACAACAGGCAACATGGGGATCAGGGTGGCAGTCTCAGCACACAGTCCACTGCTGCTCCTTAGACCTGTCCAGCCAAGCTCAGGGGGCATGCACCCTGTCCTACCATCTGTCCCTCCCAGAGACTGCCACAAGACACCACAGTGGAGCAGGAGAGTACTTGCAGTGGAGCTGGCACAGGGCCTGAATAGCATGTGTGAAGCCTTGGCTTCCACCCCTGCATGGCATAAACCAGGAGTGGTGCCTGTCTTTGCTACAGTTGGTAGGCGAGGGCGGGAAGCACATGGAGCCAGAACATTTAAAAGGGGGTTCGTACACAGGACGAGAGATGGCAGCTGGGCCTGGCTTTTGTTTTTTCGAGACAGGGTCTCGTGTAGCCCAGACTAGTCCACAACTCCCTATACAACTCGAAAAGGCTCTGGATGCTACAAGAAAGTCTCAGTGGGTGTACGGCTTGCCACCAAGCCTGGTGACCTGAGTTCAAAGTGACAAAGCAGCGGGAAAAAGCCAACAAGTTGCTGTCTGACTCCCTAACACAGGACATAATACACGTGCCTGTGCCCCCCAAACAAATCAAATATAATTTTAAAATGTAAATAGAAATGTTCTGTGGGATGAACCCATGCATTCCCGGCCACTCCCCGACTCCACAGCCACCTGAGCGCCCGCGGCTCAGAGAATTCCTCATAGCTGTGCATGGAGTCACTGTAGGACTCCCGGGACCCCAGGGGAGGCGGCCGCACGGAGTACTGGTGCACGGAGGCATTAGGCTGTGAAGTCGTGTAGTAGGGCGGTGGAATGCTGTTGCTGGTCTCACTCCTATAGTCACTGTCCCGGTCATCCACCGCACTGTCGGGGTCATCATCTGCAGGGAAGAGGAGGGAAAGGAAGGGTGAAGACTGGAGAACACACCGTGGGTCTAAACCAGCCTCCCTCTAAGGCGTCTTCATCTTCTGCTACCACAGCGTTGACAGAGGCTCTAGCAGAGGGCGGACAGAAGGAAGCTTCCGGTGTGCCAGCTGTGCGGCCTGGGAGGGCAGGGGCCCAGCTGTGCCGCCTAGGAGGACGGTGATCCACCGTCTGGGGTAAGGCCAGCACCGTGAAGGGGACTCTCTCACCGAGCCCCTCGCGCTCACTTCCGAACAGAGCGCGCCCTCTGGTGGCCCCTGAACAAAAGTTCATCAAGGACCGTTTGCTGTGCTCAAGGCAGCACCTAGATCTTCCACCTGGTTATCTGGCTTTTGTCTTTGGCTAAAGCTCCGTACAGGAAAACCACCCCAATTGGAGTCTTTGCTTTCTACCAACTGTTTATAAAATTATTATATTATGCTGGACATGGTGGAGCACGGCTTTCATCCCAGCACTTGGAAGTCAGAGGTAGGTGGATCTCTGTGGTTTGAGGCCAGCCTATCTACACAGTAAGTTCCAGAACAGCCAGGGATACACAGAGAAACCCTGCCTTGAAAAAATAATTATATTACATGTACTCATTGTAGGAACACATGTGACACACCATGTGTATGCAAGCCAGAGAACATACTGCAGGAGCCAGCTCTCACCTTCTGCTGTGGGTGACGGAGATTGAACTCAGACTGAGTTAGTTCCACTGAGCCATCCCACCTGCCCCAACATACAGTTTTTGACCAAACTTCCTATCAGTTTGATTTTGAGAGAATTATCTGCTTTGGGCTCCACTGGCTTCCGTTTGACTCAGCCACACCTTCAGCCAGACTGGGGCTTTAACTAAAATTAGCCCCGCTCTGCACAGCTGCACTGGAACCAAGGGCCTCATGTATGCTGGGCTAGCGTTAGGGTTGACAAGGGTGTGGATGGCTTAGGGAACTGGGAATCCCTCAAGGACGTGGCCCTGGCTGCTGTTGATGACCAGGCCCCGCTCTCCTGCACTGGTGTGACATGAGGCCACTTCCAGAGTGGTGACAGGGGAACAGAAATGGGCATGGGGGCGCGAGGTCACATATGGGGCCGTGTATTGAGGAGCCTTGGGGTCTCCAAGATGCCCACCTCCCCGAGAGCTTGTTACTTACTCTGTTCTCCCCAGCCAAAGTAATTCCAGTTGCCTAGGAGGGAACAGGCACAATGAGCCTCAGCTGCCCTCTCTACCGCAGCCCCCCACCCGACCCCAGAGGCCCCCGCAAGGCAGGCAGGCTTCTGACTGTCCCCCACGGCCTCACCTTTCCAAGTCCCCATATTATCTCCAGCATAGGAATTTAAAAAAGCAAAAAACTTATTAAGGAAAACAAGAACAGACAAACCAACCAACCAACCAAAACTCCACAGGGGCTGTGCCTCCCCCTCCTCCTCTTGGCTTGAGGATCTGAGATAGAGTCACAGGCTCTTGTGCACCCCAACCAGGTTGGACCACACTGGGCTGTGAGCCACTTCAGTGACTGACAGGAACAGTGCAGCCTAGCTCAGCAGTGGCTCACTGCTGCTCTGAAACCTGAGGCAGAAGGATGGCTGGAGCCTAGGAGTTCTGGTCAGGGTGGGTCACACAGGAGTCATAGTGTCCCTAAGACAGTGGTGGCTGATATGTGGGACTAGGTCCCTCAGCCCTGTACTCCACGCCTGGCTTGGCCCTGGCTGTCAATTTCTCAGGCCATCCAGGCAGCTACTGGGACACAGCAAAGCAGGAATCGCACACCAGACTTGGCTGCTGGATGGAGCAGAGCGGGAGCAGGCAGAGCGGGAGTGGGTGGGCGGTACTCACAGCACTGGCTGCTGGGCACCGGCAGCGGCTTGTCCTGCTGGTCCTGGAAGGAGTACTGGGGAGGGGACAGTGTGTCAGGGACAGTGGACACAGCTCACTCTGGTAAGCCCCACTACACCTGACTTTGTGCAGCCATGGAGGACAGAGAGATAGAGAAGGTGACCAGAGGAACAGCCAAGCAGCCCTTTACTGTGTCCCTCCACCCAGCCTCTAAGAACACCGCGTGGGTCTGAGATGTGGGTTGGGACACTCTGAGCACAGAAGGGAGAGGGGAGAGCCGCCTAAGGCTGGGCTGGCCGGGAAGACGGGGCATTTCATGTCTCCATGTGTCCCTGGAGAGGTTGGGTCAGGAAGCTCACCTGGAGGTGACTTACCTCATCCTGGTCACGCATGGCATTCAGCTGCTCCAGCTTCTTGGCCCAGTAGCGCGCCTCCTCCTCAGGGATGTCTGCAAGCAGACCCTCCATGTCCTGGGCTCTGGGGACCCCTGGCCTCCCTCCCTTGGGCCCTGGTTCATTGATGTGGGGAGCCCCTGGGGAACCCCAGGAATGGATGGAGACGGAGGGGCAGGAAGTCAGGAGCTCTGGGAGGGATTGTGAGGACCTTAAAGGCCATGGCCTCCCCAGCGCAGTCCCCAAGTGGGCGCTGTGACCTTGGGTGTGGCCACACACCCTGGGACTCACCCAAAGGCAGCTCGAAGTGAGCGTCCAGGAGGATGCGATGGAAGGTGGGGTCCTTGGTCCCACAGATCTCACTGTCCGCCATGATGGCCTGGGAGTCCAGTGTGAGCCACTCTCCCGGGCCCTCCTGGGCATGGGCAAAGGCACGGGATGGGGTCAGGGCCCCAGGGAATGGTAGGGCCTAAACACTGGCTGCACACTAGCCTCTCTTGAGGTAGCCTCCTCAACCTGCGCCCCCTCACCCACTTCCCAGGTGAGGGATTTTGCAGTTGTGGCTCTAGACAATAGCCCCGGTGCCTGGCCACCCTCAGGAACCTGCCCAAAGGAGTGAGACCCCAACACTGCTCAGGAAGACAACACTGTGAGCAACTGGGGTCTCGGACCCACGGTGTCTTCACCAATACAATGACAATCTTCCATGGACAATACTGGCTACTCCCATGGGACTCGGGCTACCGTCACGCCGAGCCACTGAGAAGATCCTGGGTCCCCTTTAAGCTACTTCTGGCTCTGGTTCTCATGGCTGTGCGTCTGCCCCCTTCCTTCAGTTATTTACGACTTAAATAACAAGCACATGCTGGTGCCTTGTCAAAGCCTGGGCCACCCTGGGTTCTGTTAGTCCCCAGGAGCTCCTGGTTACCAGCCTGGCTTCAGAGGACCCCACAGTCCTGGGACAGACACCCGGGACCCACAAAGCCAGGTTGGGCCCTTAACTGACACTACATCCCTGGTGGGAGTCTCTGGTGACCGCTTTAAATCACTAGGTAGTGGCCCCAAACTGAGCAAGTAGGTGGGGGTGGGCGGTAGTAAGTCTCACTTTCTTTAGACCACAAGCCCCTGGGCCTCTGTCAGGCCCTCTTCTCCACCTGTCACTCACCTCATTGGACTGGCGGATGGTCCGCAGTGGGATCCACACAGTGCCCACCATCGTGTCCCAGATGAGACCTTTGTTCCACACCTCCACTGTCAGGCCTAGATCCAGGCGGTTGATCTCACTGTGTGCACAGCACAGGGGAATGGGAAGGAGAGAAGACAGGCTCAGATAGGTCAGTGCACTGGTCTGAAGACACACAGCATACTGCAGTGGAACGCCAGACCTGGAGGAGCCAGTGTCCAGGAAGGCAACACACTGGTTCATTCTATGGAGGAGAAACTGAGGCACAGGAAAGAGCATGTTGCTCAGACTATCGTAGGCAGCCAGAGCTGCATCTGGAAGGACTAGGAACAGAAGGTAGCATCTCATCCTCCGTCTTACTGGCCCTTCGTGGGGTCATGAGGCCCCGACAAGGCTGGGCAGGTGAGGAACACACACCTCCCTGGCAGTTCCGGACCATTCTCCTCTTGGGGTATAACTCGGGGTCCACTCCTGTAACATGTGACTTCTCTGGGCCTCCTTTTCCTCATCTATTAAACGAGACTCACTGTAGCTACTCCTCCGGGCATTGCGCGTAGTTGATGTAAAAGAATGAAAAAAATCACAAAATAGGGTGCAGCCCGGGTGGCTGGACGTCAGAACAGACGCTCAGGAGACTGGGCAGGAGGATCAGGTTTCAGGTCGGCTTCGGAGATACAGTGAGGCCAGCCTGGGTACCCTGGGTACCTGGGCCAGCTTGAGACCCTGTCTTAGAGATAAATAAGACTAACGGAGAGACTGGTTTGTAAATGTGGACGGTGTGACCTGCAGGCTGCGGGCTGGCGGAGGGTATAGATATTCAGAGACTAGTATTCGTTGTACACTCCCCACCCGATTGATTCCCGTGTAGTGTACCCTCGGAGGTCACCGTGGGCTCCCACCCTCCTTACAGCAGAGGCTGGGGGCCGAACAAGGCAGGAGTGATGAACCCCTCCGTAGTGAAATGTGCAGAGGAGCCAGGAGGCAGCAGCTTGGCAGCTGGTCAGGGAAGGCGTCCTGGAGGGGGCGGCCAGCGGGGGGGGGGGGCGGAACTGAGGGAGCTGCTGGGTGACACTGAGGTGGCTTTCAGTGTTTATAATCTTCCCCTCTGCCTGGAGGAGAGCACCCTACAGGGAGTAAAGGGGAGGGCGGAGGAGCAGGGCTTGGGATGGGTTAGAGGGGCCCGGAAGTGTGGTGGCTGTGGCCTGTGGGCTCCGGAGGCAAGGCCTGGATGCCTGGGAACTGGTTTTCTCAGGTGGGAGTGTCGGGAACGGCTTCAAGCAGGAAGAAGGGCCTGGAGGCAGGTGAGTGGCCAGAAGGATGTGGGGGGTGGGGGGGAAGGTCTGGGCGAGCGGTGTGGGGGTTGTGGGAGGAGCCAGCTACGGATTGTGGGTATGGTTTTGTAGGTCACGTGTGGGCAGACCCTTCAGTAGGATGGCCTGAAGAGGGCAGTCGGAACCTGCAGTGGGCGTGGTTACGGGCGGGGTTTTCTGGTGAAAGGATGCTTACGGGAGCGTGTTTATGTGGGCGGGGCTTGTCGGGGGCATACAGGGACTTTGTGTGGGCGGGGCAGTGGTGGACCAGACTTTTCAGCCGTAGAAGGGGTTTTGTGAGCGGGGCTTCTTGATGAAGGGGTCCTTAGTGGGCGGACCTTGTGGGGTTCTGTGGTGGGCGTGTCAGATGCGTCTGCTGTGGGTGTGGTTCCCAGTTTCTTGGCCCGGGAGGGCGGGGCTGCACACTCACAACATGAAGTCCTGCTCCCAGCTGGGCTGGCTGCCGCGTACAGCTATGGTAGTGCTCTTCACGTTCTGCACCTTCAGCGTCACGTATGTGTTGAACTTCTCTGCAGCGGGAGAGTGGGGCAATGGCCGGCTGTCCCCTCCTGGGTCCGTATGCTCACCTCAATCCGGAGGGTGGACCCGCAGACCCGGGTCCCAGAACCATCATTTATCATCCATTCTTAAAATTACACGGGAAAATGGAGGCCAAGTCTAAAGGGTTTGGTTTTCCTCTGGGAAGACCGACAGGAGGGACTAACAGGCTATATAGGAGATGGTGAGTTCAAGGCCAGCCTTAGCTACAGAATGAGTCCCAAGGTAGCCTAGCCAGCTTAGGGAGACCTTGTCTTAAAATATACAGACAGTTGGGGCTAGGGCTGGAGTTTGATGCGGGCATGTGCAAGCCTGGGATTCCGCCTGGGTCTCAAGCGCTGCCTGGCCCTGGGTTCCTCCCCAGGAGGATCCCTGACCTGGTTGGGGGACAAAGCTCACTCCTAAGATGGACTTGCTCTTTGCATGGCAGCAGCTGCCAAAGTCCTCAGGCCAAGGAGTCCAGACAAACAGACAGAACCACAGTTGACAGTTGATGGGGACAGTACAGGACAGTTAGGACAGGATACTTACCTTGGGCACCGTCAAACTTGGCTTTTTTGACTGTGAAGAGACAGAGATGGAGAGAGCCAGGAGGGTTGTGGGGATGAGAGAGAGAGAGAGACAGAGAGAGACAGAGAGAGAGACAGAGAGAGACATGGGAAAAGAGACATAGGAGAGAGAGATGGAGGGAGGATTAAGAAGAGGTATCAGAGGCAGAGAGGAGGAGGAAGAGAGAAGAGGCCATCAGACCCAGAGCAGAAGGCATCTGGCCCACGGGCACAACCCTCCCCTTTCCTCAGCCTTCCTATGGGCTCTTGACCCCAACTCAAACACAACAGGAGCTGGGGAACTGGCAGGAGGTCTCCCCTTAGAGGCCTTCCAGGATGACATGGACATATGGGTATGAGGGGACAATCCTGAGACCCTGACTTAGCTGTCACCTCACTCAGTCCAAAGCCCGGTGTAGGCAGAGCCTGTGGTCAGATCCACCTGTCCCTCCCTTTGTCCCTTCTTCAGTTTTCCAGCTGTTCTTTCCTTTCCCTTCCTAGGTCTGTGTAGGCAATATGCAAATCTGCGCACACCCAGATCGTCCAGTGACATACTTGGAAAGCCAGCCAGCTCCCAGTGCTGGGGCTTCCCTGCCTCCCAGACCTTGCTCCCAGAAGCCATCAGCATAGCAGGCTCCTGGGGACTGGGGACAGACCATGAGACATAGTCTCGTACACATGATTGATTTTTACTTCACAAATAGCAACACACACACGCACACACACATGCACACAGATGCACACACGTGCACACACTCACACACACATTCCAGACCTTGAGGTTCTCAGTATCTGAGCTCCTCTGCTACCCAGCCCTTGTCAAAAAACTCATTTTTAAAATGCCAATAAATATGACTTCGTGCCTAGCACACAAGGGATTGTGGAGCGTGAATGGAGGAAGGGAAAGGCACTCAGCCGGAGTTTGGAGAGCTATGTCCCAGTGCTTCAGGACCAGTGGATCTACACCACCAGTGGATCTATTTACTGTGTCCTCCACAGCTTCCCAGACCTCCAGGCTGCTGTCTGCTCCATCTCTCTGCCATTTCTCCTTCTCCATGACCGTCGGCCTCTGTGCAGCAGGCCCTGTGACTGGAGGGCTAAGGCGGCTCCGGTCCTCCAGCCCCTCGCTGGCTGGCTGCTCTGACAACCCAAGCCAGGCTCAGTCTGAGCTAGGACTCAGGAAACCCAGGACCTGAGTGAGGGAAACCTGTGGAGGGGAGGGTCTGGGAGGGGGGACAGGCACAGTGGGGGGCGCCCAGAGGAGGGTGGTTAGGGGTAAGGTCCACAGCAGAGCCTGGTGTGGAAGTTTCTGAGAAAGAAAGGGAACCTGAGAGGGAGAAAGGTCGGGGCGTTCAAAAGAGGGTTAGGGTGTCTGTGCAAGGGGTCCATGTGTCTGGGGGCAGGGAAGGGTAGCTTGGAGCAGTGGGTGTCAGAGCGGGGGAGGGGTGGATAACAGCTGGGGGAGGGAGAATGTAAGAGCAGGGCAGGGGGAGAGTGTCTGGGGAAGGATGTGTCAGAGCAGGGGACAGGAAGATGTCTGGGGGGGGGGAGAAATAGATTTCCGGGCTGGGGGCGGGGGAGTGTCTGGGGGGGGGGTGTATTAGAGGAAGGGGAGGGTGTCTGGGGAGAGGGACAGGTTGTCAGAGCTGGGGGAAGGGGAGCATATCTGGAGGAGGGAGAGAGTATTTGGGGGAAGACTATGTAAAGGCAGGGGGAGGAGGGCGGGAATCTGGGAGATGTAGGTCAGAGGTTCCTGGAAGAGGGTGTCTGGGGAGTAGAGGGTGGGGTCAGGCTAGTGCAACTGCCTCGTGTGTGTGTGTGTGTGTGTGTTGCTTCATGTCCCCAGTCACTGCCGCGTCATATCCCGCCACCTCCCAGTGCTGGGGTCAGCGGCCGCGGAAGCGCCTGGTCTGCTCAGCTATTTATAGCGCACCGAGGCCACTAGCGGTTCAGGTTCTGGCACCTTTCATGGCCTCAGTTTCCCTGCCTGGGCAGAGGCGGGGCCATGGCCTCAGTTTCCCTGCCTGGGCGGAGGCGGAACTGCCCCTCCCTTTGATTCCTTGTCACTGACACTATTTTTATTCTCTGGCTGGCACCCTCGGATACTCCGATCCGTTTTCTGATTAAAGACGACTGTCTAGGGGAGACTTGTCCAGGTCTATAGGGCAGGGTGGGGAACCTGACCACTAGGGAAGCATCTGGAAGGGCGCAGGGCGTACTAAGCAAGGCCACCAGACCGCCCAGACCTTCAGGGAGCCATGGATGACAACAGTAGCGATGCAGGCTGTGAACTGAGCACCGGGGAGGGACATAGCCGGGGCTGTCACCCTCCATCGCACAGAAACATGAAGGAGACAGGAGACAGTGCAGACAGTTGAAGGGGGGCAGGTCCCTATTGCTGGATAGTGTCAGGTGTAGAGCAGCTGGGGACTGCGTTTTGCAAAGGATTCTGGGAAAGGAGGAAGGAAACAGACCATGGAGGTCAGGCACCTCACAGAAGGACCCTGGCACAATCTTCTTCCCCAGCCCACAGCCAGCCAGGGAGTCCTCCACTCCTCCCTGCTGTGTGGCCCTAGGCAAGTGGATGAACCTCTCTGGGGCTCAGTTTTCCTTCTCTGTGTAGTGGGGTTGCTATGATGGATGGGCAGGTTCAACTCTGGTACTATTAAAGTTTCAAGGCAAATTTATACCCACACCCCAACACAGTCATGCAAACTAACTCTCTCTCTCTCTCTCTCTCTCTCCCTCTCTCCCTCTCTCCCTCTCTCCCTCTCTCCCTCTCTCCCTCTCTCCCTCTCTCCCTCTCTCCCTCTATCTCATGCTCTTTCCTTCCTCTGTTCATCCTGTTAGTGAAATATTTATGGAGCCTTTGAGACCTACACTTGCCATCCCAGCACTCTAGAGGTTAAGGCAGAAAGATGAGTTCAAAGCCAGCCTCTACTACCCAGTGAGGTGAGGAAATGGTGATGGGAGGTGCAGCTGGAGAGAGTTCAGCCTTTAATAATGTGTTCTCTCTCTCAGTTTGCTCGCTCTCTCTCTCCCTCCCTCCCTCCCTCCCTCCCTCCCTCTCTCTCTCATAGTTACTGTTGTTTGATTGTGTTTGTGAATTTTTCTTTTTCTTTTTCTTTTTTTTAGAGACAGGGTTTCTCTGTATAGCCCTGGCTGTCCTGGAACTCACTCTGTAGACCAGGCTGGCCGCGAACTCACAGGGATCCACCTGCCTCTGCCTCCCAAGTGCTGGGATTAAGGTGTGCACCACTGCCAGGCTAAAATATATATTTATATAATGTTTTTTAATGGAGGAAGGAGCTGGGAGCTAGCCGTTATGCAAGAACTAAAACCTGAGTTCAGATCCCCTAGAGAGCCAGACAGGACATGTCCTCTGTAACTCCAGCTCTGGGGAAGCAGGGACAAGTGGATCCTGGGACCCACTGGCCAGCCAATCTGTGAGCTCCCTTTCAGTAAGAGAGTCTGTCTCAACCAAGTTGGTGATGCCTCAGCTGACTTCTTAGCAAAGGCTTGCCAGCAAGTGTAATGACCTAGGCACCTGGGGTCTGCATAGTGGAGGGAAAGAGCAGACACCCGAAAACTGTTTTTTTTTTTCCGACCTCCACATACCCACATACATGGCTTCTTGCAAAGTCGGGTGAGATCACAGGTTTAAGATGTATGTAGTGTATCTGTCTGTGAACAAGTGTGTTTCAGGAGGTGTAGTCAAGTATGTGCCTGTGTTGAGACAGGAAGAGAATCTTTCTTCCTACATTTTCTCCTGTATGTGTGACAGGGCTCATGTAGCCCAAACTGGCCTCAACTCCTGAATCCTTGCCTCTGCCTCCCAAGTTCTGAGATGATTGGCATGTGCCAAGTTTGGTGTATGCAGTGCTGGGGATGAAACACAGGCCTTTGTGCATCCTGGGCAGCACTGTATAAACTGAGCTATAAGCACTCTATGAACTGAGCTGCAAGCACTGTACCAACTGAGCTATGAGCACTGTACCAACTGAGTTATTAGCACTGTACTAACTGAGCTGCAAGCACTGTACCAACTGAGCTATGAGCACTGTACCAACTGAGCTATAAGCACTGTACTAACTGAGCTGCAAGCACTGTACCAACTGAGCTATGAGCACTGTACCAACTGAGCTATAAGCACTGTACCAACTGAGTTATAAGCACTGTACTAACTGAGCTGCAAACAGGGTACCAACTGAGCTGCAAACACTGTACCAACTGAGGTGCAAGCACTGTACCAACTGAGCTGTGAGCACTGTAGCAAGCACTATGCACACTGAGCCTCAGCTCCTGCCTATCTATGTGTGTATACTAAATGTTCCTTAGCATCCTGCGTGCACAATCTAGATTTGTATCTGCAACATGGAAGTTTCCATTGCAGAGGAGCCTGGAGCCCCCATATGCCAATGGCAGCCCTAGCCATAAGGTCCGTGGGGAGGGTCGTGGGTGGTTGGAATGAAGGTATTCCCTGACTGTGAGGGTGAGTTCAGGTCCACTAGACACCTCCAGGTCCAGCTTTGCCAGGCCCAGCGCCCCTCTCAGGTCCCACCTGTACCTCCCTGTCTGTTTCCTCTCCCCAGAGCCCTACCCTTGACCCCTCTGCTCTGCCCACCGTGGTGTCCAAGGAATTCAGTACAAACGTCGCCCCGGCCTGGTTTTCTGGAAGCCTTCCATCTGAGGCTCCCCGCCCTCCACCCCCGCAGCCAAGCCTCGGGTTTGCGTCAGAGTTAGGGTGACGCCCCTCACCCCAGGAAGCAGGATGGGAGGACTCGGGGTGCAGGGAGCTGCCGAGGTGAGGATTCCCTTCAAGTTCGGCTCCGCTTACTTCCCAGGCCTGGAGGCCGGGGCTACCCAGTAACCCTGGGCAGTCGGAACCTTCGAGGCACAGGCTCAGGGAAAAGAGTTCCTGTTCCTTTAAGAACATCCGCGTCCAACAGACTAGAGCGGTGCACCGCGGGGCGCGGGCGGGCTGGGCCGGGTTTGTGAATGGAGCGGCGAGCGGAGGGGGGAGGGGAGCCGGGGAGGGGGAGGGGCAGAGGGGCGGGGCCATCTAGGGCCACGCAGCCGCGGAGCTCAAATCCGCACACCCGCCGCCCAAGGTCTCCCGTCGCCTGGGATCGGAGGGGGATGGAGACTCGCCCTCCTCCCTACACAGCTTCCTGGAGGTGGAAAGGGGAAAGGGTGCAGGGGGTTCACCCCCACCCCACAGACCCAGAGCTCACAATGGAGTCGGCACGCACCGCTACAAGGCCAGTCGGTCGCCCAAGGTCTCTCGCTGCAGAGTTACCTCGCAGTCATGCCTAGCCCTACGCGGAGCTTCGAGGGGTGCAGGGGTCACACCTCTCCCGTAATTCCCTCCCTACCCCCCCCAAACGCGGAGCGTGGGCCTGGGCGTGGGCCTCGGTGCAGATGGCGTTTTGGCCCCAAAATAGCTGCCCCCCCTTCTCCTTTCCTCCCTCCAGCCCTAGGGGTGAGGCAGAGGGGGAGCCACGAGCTTCCGCGGAGCCTGCTGCACTGTTTAGGGCACACTGGAGATCGAAGAGGTTGTCCCCACGCCCAGTCCGGGCCCATTACCCCCAAAACCTCCACCCTCGGGCGCACGCTCCACCGTCTCCTCAGCCACTACCAGTGCCTACACAGCGTCTACACAGGCGCCCCGAGCCCCGCATCCATTCGTGCGAGCGACAGGCAGGACACCTAGGGCTGATTCAAGCGCGCCCTGAAGCGCACACCGGGGGTCCCCACTGCGGTGCAGCCCGGCTCGGCTCATCCACGCGCACCCCGCACCTTTCCCGCGTCCACGCAGCTCCTACCTCCCACGCACAGCAGAGACATGACTCCAGGAGGCCAGAGCGCGGCGGGCGCAGCGCGGGGCTCAGGGCTTACGCCGGGGCCCGGCCGCCGGCCATGTCGCTTCAGCACCGGGGGCGCGGACAGCGCCTGACGCGCTCTGACGCTGCGGCGCGGGCGGAGCCGGAGACGCGTGACGGGGCGGGGCCGGGCGGACGCCTTAAAGGGCTAGTGAGCCGCGGGGAGTCCAGGCCGGGTCGCTTCTGCTCCAAAGCCTTTTGCTCCCTGGCACGGCCTCGATGGGTCTTTCTGTCCATGCTCTGTCTGCCTAGGTCACCACTTTTCTATTTCCCTCTCTGAGCCACCTAACCTGTGCTCTTATTTTATATTCTCCTGGGTAACAGAGCTGCTATTTGCTGTCAATTCCCCATCTTCAATGCCCCAGGAAGCTGTCCCTAATTTCCCAGTACTGAATCATATTTGTTTCGTTTTTTATTTTATTTTTTGCTTTTTAATCCGGGTACTGACACTTGTGAGACAAGTGCTCTAGCTTTCTCGTGTGAGGCACGTACTCTATCTACCTCAGGCTGAGAGCGCTGTAACTATTTCTTCCGGGTCATGGAAGTAATAGATCTCCGTGAGTCTGTGTCCATCCTGGTCTGCATAGTGAGATCCTGTCTCTAAAAACCAACCAAACAAAAATGTGCGTTGCTTGGGTCTGGAGAGCTGCCCAGAGTTTAAGCGCACTAGCTGGTCTTCCAGAGACCCCAGCATTTTTTCCTAGCACCCACATGGTGGCTCCCAACCATCCACAGACATGGAAAAGCACACGTGCACAGAAAATAAAATAAATCCAAAGTGTTTTATAAATTAAATTGTTTATGTGCGTAGGAGTGAGGCACACACATTCCATGGAGATCAGAAGGCAACTTTCCAAACTCGTTTCTCTTTCCACCATGTGCGTTCCAGGAATAGAACTCAAGTTCTCAGGCTTGGCAAGTGGAGCTCCCTGGGACATTGTGCTGAGCCTTATTGATTTTCTTCCATGTGTGGAGTGTGTCTGAGTGTGTGTGTGAGAGAGTTTGTATGTGCCTGTGTGTGTGCACATGAGTGTGTGTGTGTACATGTGTCTGTGTGTGTGTTTGTCTTTATGTGTCTATGTATGTTTGTGCTTGTGTGTCTGAGTGTGTGTGTGTATTCATGTCTGTGTTTGTCTGTGTCTGAGTGTGTGTGTTTGTGTATCTGCATGTCTGAGTGTGTGTCTGTATGTGCCTATGTCTGAGTGTGTGTGTGTATGAGTGAGTCTATGTGTCTGTGTGTGAGTGTGTCTAAGCATATATACCTGTGCATGTAAGCCCAGAGAACAACTTTGGATGCTGTTCCTTACCCACAGGTTACTTATTTATTATTATTGTAGTGGTGGTGGCAGTGTCTTACTGGCCCTAGGCTCACAGCTTAGCTGGCATACAGCTCCTGGAGAAGAGCCTGCTGGTGTGCGACAGCAGCTCCTCCAGTAGGTTTTGGACACAGAATGGCATCCTCAGGCTTTGGTGGCCACCCTAGCACCTCCACATCCTCTAGGCACCTCAGGAACATGGTAGCTACCCAGCCATCCTCACAGTCCTCTACTGCTCTAATTAAAGCTTATTTGCGTTTGTTTTATGTGAGTGGCTATTTTGCTTGTGTGTCTGTGTGCCACCTCAGTGCTTGGTGCCCACACAGTCCAGGAGAGGGTGTCAGGTCACCAGCACAGGGGCTGCAGGTGGTGATGAGCCACCTTGTGGGTGCCAGGAATCAAACTCAAGTCCTCTGGAGGAGCCAGTGCTCCTAACTGCTGAGATGCTCAATTGCCCTGACACCACTCCAGGCTCTGTCCCAGAACAAGGCAGAGGTTTCCCAGAGCCTGGTGTGGTTGGGACAGGAACCTCATTCAGGCCTTGTCCAGAATCCTCTGTGAGTGGCTGGACATGGCTGGGGTGGACCCTATCCTTTCTTAGTTGGCTATTGCTGTGAAGAGACCTTGACCAAGGAAACTCTTACAAAAGTAAACATTTTATTGGGGCTGGGTTACAGTTTTAGAGGTTTAATCCATTATCACCATGGTGGGAAACCTGGGAGTGTCCAGGTAGACATGAGATGTCTACATCTGGAGCCACAGGCAGCAAGAAGACAGACTCTGAGACGGGCTTAAGCATCTGAAAGTACAAAGCCCACCCCCAGCGACACACTTCCTCCAACAACACCTCCTAATGACGCCTCTTCCTGGCGAGCCTATAGGGACTATTTTTACTCAAACCCCTACACACCCCTGCCCAGGATACCCCAGTGTGTGTGTGTGTGGTTACATTGCAAAGTGTCCAAGGTCTCATACCTAATATCTCACCCCAATATCTCCCACACTTGGTGCCTCAGTTTTGCCACCTGCAAAAGAGATCATAACAAATGGATCTTGTGGTTGTTTGTTTGTTTTTTGTTTTTTTTTCGAGACAGGGTTTCTCTGTGTAGCCCTGGCTGTCCTGGAACTCACTCGGTAGACCAGGCTAGCCTCGAACTCTCGAACTCAGAAATCTGCCTGCCTCTGCCTCTCCCAAGTGCTGGGATTAAAGGCGTGCGCCACCACTGCCCGGCTGGATCTTGTGTTTTTAAAACAGTTCATTTGAGTCCAAACCTACAAACCCAGGAATCCTAAGGGCTCCAATTCTTAAAAGTATCTGTTTCACTTTTTTAAAAATTTTAATTAGCTATCAGCAGTAAGGCAGAGGTGAGGCCACTCCAGGATGGAATGGGGGGTGACAGGCCCTGCAGGCTCCCCATTGCCCCTTGCTTCACCCCAAATTTAATTCCTTATTTTGCGGCTTCTTGCTTCTCACAAACGTTGATATGTTCCCACATGTGGTCCCATGTCTAACAATGGCCGTGTCGGTGTCGTCTTCATGTCCTATATGGGCAAGACCAGAGAAGGATGTCTTCTGTCCTGCTGTGTCACTCTCCACCTTCTTCCCTTGAGACAGGGTCTCCCACTGCCTGGAGCTATCTATGCCGGTGGCCAATAAGACCCAGCCATCCTCCTGCCTCCATCCAGATGTTTTACATGGTAGCTGGGATGAAATCTCATGTACTGGCGCCTGTACAAATGTTCCACCCCAAGCCACGCCCCCAGCCCCTCACTGGGGATTCTGGGCAGGGGCTCCACCAGTGAGCCTGTGGCACTTCTTGGTTTGTTCTGTCAATCTTCTGCTTTCTTCTCCGAATCACACCTGCTATCTCTTCACATTTCCATTCCTGATATGTTTCCTCACGTCATCCTCTCCCAGACGTATTGGCAGCCCAAGAGGCCTAACCTGCTGTGTGTGGTATTTAAGGAGCTGTCGATGCTCTGGGTCTGAGAACAGAACTTGGCATGCTTTAGGGGAACAGAGCTGCACAGTTCTCTCCCCCGGGATCACTCTCAGTTCTGCCCCATGCAGCAGGCCCACTGACAACAGATGGGTAAACAGAGGCACCAGGATGCAGGCCACAAGTGGGTCCTCAGCCTATTAGGAGCCTAAAAATGTCAGCGGAGACAGGGGTGGAGGACTGGAGGGCCGGCTCCTGTCATCACCATCTGAAACCTATGAGTTCTTCTTAGAATCCTCCAAGCTGTGCCTGCGGGTCCAAGCGATGGAACTCAATCTGTGTGGCGATAGCCTACACTCAGCTGTCTCACAGTCCCCATCCATAGCTTTTAAGCAGAATAGAAGGGAGGTTTTCAGAGGAAGTGGGAACACACCCAGGATGCAGGTGGGCTTCCCAGAAGGCCCCTCTAAGCTCGTTAGGACTGGGCAGCCCAGAGGTTTGGGTTTTTTCCGCCTGTAGTTTTTTAACCTTACTCAGAGTGTCTTTTAAGTAAAAGGTTGGGGGCGGAGTGGAAACTGGAGCCTGAAATGTGTGCTGGTCAGCGGGTCCCGGCCCGGGCAGGTCCAGGTGGCTCCAAGGACACGCGTGGACAGGAACCTGGGCCGGGGAGTGCTCCGTGAACTCAGGTCCCCAGCAGCACCCTGCCTTTCTGTCTCTGCCCTGCTCCTACCCTAGAAGGGTGGCCGGCGGCACTGGTTTCTAGTCTCCCACCCCCCACCCCCCGGGCCTGCCGCCCCGCCCCGCCCCCAGGGCGCCCTGACTTTCCGTAAATGACGGCGGCCAGGAAGCTCAGGGGCCGCACAGGAAGGAGCAGGGACTTTCCTGTCGCAGCCTGGGCTGCCCCCCGCCTCGGCGCGGCTGCAGGTAGGAGCGCGGGGCACGGGTGCAGGGTGCGGAGGGTGCGGGCGCGGGCGCGGGGCGCTGCCTAGACACCGCACTGGCGGCTCAGCAGTGCGCATGCGCTGCTGGCTTCCCCGCCCCCACCCTCCTGTCCTAGGAGCGGGAGGTAAAGGGCCAGAACTTTCCATTTGGTATAATCTCACACTTCTTTAATATTCGCATCCGCTCTGTAGTTTTATGCTTTACATTTTGAGGATGGCTCTGCGTCCGTAACCCTGGGCTACAGTCACTATGTAGCCCCAAACTCGTAGTAGTCCTCCTGCAGCCTTCCCAGGAGCAACAAGAATTGGGGAAGAAGATGATGAAGGTTTTATTTATGTATATTTTATAACATTTTAATCTGTTTTATTCTGTGTGAGTGTGCTTTGCACACGTTCGGAGGTCAGAGGACAACTTGCCGGAGTGGGTTCTCTCCTTCCACCATGTGGGTCCTGGGGACCAGCAGATTTGGTGGCAAGTGCCTTTACCCCCTAAGCCATCTCGGCCGCCCTAATTTGTTTCTTGAGACAGGGTCTGACCTTGAACTTATAATGTCAGTTGTTTACCACCACATCTGGTAATAGGTTAATGACATCTTCAGTTCTTGATTTGAGACAGGGTTTCTCTGTGTAGCCCGATTAAAGGTGTGCACCACCACCACCACCGAGCCAGATTTTTTTTTTTTTAAGTACAGTCTCATGCAGCCAGGCTAGCCTTGGACTTCTAATCTTCTGCCGCTACCTCTGGAGTTTTCTGGGAACAAGTGTGTGCCACCATGCCTACTTTTGTCGTCTTATTATGGGAGGGGCTCACATGTAGAGGTCAGAGGGCAGCTTTACGCAGTCGGTGCACC